GATCCTCGGAAAGGGGCGGGGGATCGTTAAAAGTGCTCCGGAAACGGGGATTTCTTTTTCTCGCTTATTAATGAGTGCGAGTAAACCCGTTCTGGCGCGGCGGAGCACCCGAAACGTTTTGTCACCGTCGATCGTTAGCCCGACTCAATTTGCGCCCAGTCGGGACCTCATACGACATAAATTCGAGGGTCTGTTTTTGTTTCCGACATTCTTTCGAGACAAGAGAAATTAACTTGCGTTGGGTCTTTTTTTAGAATTCTCAAAAAATTTATATATTTAAGAGAGAAAACATTAAATATATATATTCTATTTTTATTTTATTATTTTTATTTAATTAAATAATAACTCTTATAAAACGACCTAAATATCACATTATGGGTAAAATACACAATGTATCCGACTTTTTGTTCCGTTAAGCAAAACTGCCAATATGCCGCTCCTGCTAAATATTATATACTCCACTGGAATACACAACACGGCTAAATATTTTCTGCTTATTAAACCGGAATATTGAGTTTCTTGTCCGAAGAAGCTGACATCTCTTCGGTTATCTCATTTGTCCGACTAAAACGAAATGGCAACACATATTTGATTTTGCTAGAATCCTATATTTAGAATTTATTTAACATACATGATTCTGAATATTCATTACTTTTGCGCGAATATCCATTATCTTAATCCTAGCAATTATTACGGCGCATTTTTTTCCTGCTAGATTAAGCGTGGACTGGAAATGTAAAGTAATGTAAACTCTAAGAACATTTCATTTTCTCATACTTTTCATATTTTTTCTTGTAATATGCAAAGTAAAAATATTTAAATCGGGCACGAACTTATGCAATCACCTGATATTTTCTGTTTATTAAACCGGAATATTGAGTTTCTTGTCCGAAGAAGCTGACATCTCTTCGGTTATCTCATTTGTCCGACTAAAACGAAATGGCAACACATATTTGATTTTGCTAGAATCCTATATTTAGAATTTATTTAACATACATGATTCTGAATATTCATTACTTTTGCGCGAATATCCATTATCTTAATCCTAGCAATTATTACGGCGCATTTTTTTCCTGCTAGATTAAGCGTGGACTGGAAATGTAAAGTAATGTAAACTCTAAGAACATTTCATTTTCTCATACTTTTCATATTTTTTCTTGTAATATGCAAAGTAACATTATTTTACTTTTATTGCTGTAAAAATTTTCTTTTATTATAAGATGGTAAAATAAAAAAAATAAAGAACATTTAAAAGATTTGTAAAATAAATAAGTTCTCTAAGCATGAAATTATAAAAATAAATATTTCTAATTGTATATATATTTTTGTTTATACTTATAAATTTTTTCGTTCAGCTTAAAATATTGCTATGTTTATTTTATATATTTTACTGGTATTATTTGATTCCCTTTATAATATATACACAATTTTTTGTAAGAGATTCATATCAATCTGCAACAACAGTCGAGAAAGTTTGTTCCTCTTGTCCGCTTTCTGCGCGTAAAAAGCTCTGTTATTTTTAAATCTAGAAAGTTCGGCAATAAGACTTGGTTATGACAGGAACGTAATTGTGAAAACGCACAAAATATAATGGAACTTACGTGAAATTTCTGCACAGGGCAAAGGATCCACACCGTTCAAGTTAAAGACTTGTGAAACTTTCAGGAGTGCATATAATACAGAGTGACGGCGAAACAGCGAAGGAAACGGAGACGATTCACGAATTCTTGCAAAAGCTTTCGCGAGTCCGAGGGATGTTCGAAATTTTTTTCCGGACGAAACTTATGCCGATTGCGGCCTTGACATTTCTTTCTCGGCGAAGTTTTCGAGAGCAGTAGACGTGCCATATATCGACCTCGAGTTCTTTGTCACATTATTTTACTGGGAACTATATTACATTATTCTACGAATTTATACATTTTTTTAAACGGAATTATAGAATATTATTAATGTGTAATATTTGTTCTTAATATATTACTATAATTTTATAATGAATTTTATTCACGCATTAAATACTGTTCGTTAGAGAGTAGCTTTGTAGATTTGCATATTAGTTGGAACGTAATGCAGTATTTTCTAATTTGTAAATTGAATGCGAGCAGGAGAGCGACAGTTCTTCCGCATAATTAATTAAGTAGCATGCGTTAGTGGGAATTATGTTACTCTGGATTATTATGCTTATCATCTCGCATGAGAAGCGCGAGACGTTTCCGCCGGGCGGAGTGAAAATTCTTGATGACATTTGCAAATGAAATCAGGCCATTAAGGTACTGTCTCTTCCATCTTGTTCCGCACTATTTCCACGAAGACAATGCGACGTTACTTCCGGCCTGTCCGCATTCCGCGGTTATCTTGCAGACAGATGACAGCGATATTGCTGCTGCCTCGCGATTAATCTGCATATTCGTCTCGGTAACGATTTGTTCGTCTGAATAGCGCCAGAGATATGAAGTTGTCGGAATTCAAGCGAAATCTTATTAAATTGGCTTTTGATATGACAGGATATTCTATACTAAAAAAATATTTAGGTAGAGAGAGAGAGAGCTTTGAATACGAAAGATAGATTATATAGAAGTTTAAGACATTAAATTCTATGATTTTCTTAAGAAAAAATATATAAAAGTTTTGAATGTATGTACAATGATTTAAAATTATCTATATGAATATATAGAAATTTTGCATTTATATTAATTAAAGGTATAGAAATTTAAAATATATTTAAAGTAATGATATAATTTATTGATTTAAATTATTAATTATATGAATTAAAGATATAATGGTTATTTTATATTTTTACTAGCTTTTCTTTAGCATATACTTTAAGATACTATGACAATGATTTGGCATTATTTTTTCTATTCTGCTTTATAATGCATTTTGAAAGACACAACTTACTTTTAATTATTATGCGCATCCGCGTGTTTCGGATAATCGATACGGATAAACGAATTTCTCGACAAATATAACATTAAGACACAATCTTAGAGACCTTTATTATAATCTGTATATTCGTCGCAGCACAGTCTGTTCCTCCTACGATAAGATGAAGCGCACCTCTCTCACGTACCTCGTATTGGATGCCGGGAGCATGTCTCGCAGTGACATTTGCAAATGATGTTAGACCGTATTAGCGTATACCATCTTCCATTTACGTGCCACTTTGCGAGAGAAAGAGAGAGAGAGAGAGAGAGAAAGAGAAGCTTAGAGAAAGACCGAGTTTTGTTCTCGCTCTTTGTGTGCGCCTTCGTGTAACCGAGTGCGGATCCGAACTGAGTCGCGTCGCTTCTAAACTAGTTCCAAGTTAATCGGTGACGGCGTTACCATTATGGTGTAGGGTTGCGAGGACGCGAGAGAACCAGGGACCTCCTGGAAAGATGGTCTAGCGGACGGGCCGCGGGAAAAGGGATGATTTGCATTTTAATTGCACCTGCAATCTTCCTTGCCGTCCTCATCGTTGGCACTCGTACGCGACCCAACCGGCTCTTCTCACAGTTTCTCGCAAAAGGATTCGCTCGAGAGAGAAAGAGAATGACGTAGACGTTTTTTTTATTTAAATTCGCCGCTGCTATTCGTGAGTTTCACGGACGCCTACCACGTTCACGATAATAAAACGGGTTGATACTTCCGTATATATATATATACTCGTAAGTGCGCCAAATATATCGCCAGATGTTACAGTATGGATTCGTGAAATGTAACATAAGTGTATTCGTAGTGCGTCAGAAAATATTATTCTTGTACATCTGTTGCTAAAATTTTGCGATATATATGTATATATATACGTGTGTAAACACACACATGTGTACATATATATATATCATATCTATATACTGAGAGAGAAAATAATTTTTTTACATTTAAAAAACTCATTTATTTTGATTTAACGTAGATTTATTGTAAACAATTTTACATGTGCATATAGTTTTGAGAAATAGAAATGTTTTTTTGAAACGCATACGAAAATTACAAATAATTAAAAATAAAAATAAATAATTTATAAAAAATTATAAATTTCAGAATAATTGCAAAAGAGTATAAAGCTATATATGTGCGTGTATAGGTAAAAAATTTACTAATATAAATCAATATTATATATTATACGTTTGTCAGACATGCACAAGAATAAAATCAAATATATGGATAAGGATTTTATAAGATTCATTCGCGTGATGATGATTCTAAAATACAAAACGATGATTATTTTATTTATATTGAATCTTAATTATGTTTTTCTAAAATCTTGTTTCTTGTATCTTTCTCTCTTCATCTTTGCGCGTAAATGAAAGGCAACTAATGACGCGGAGAAGTTCTCGCGAAGGGATAATCACGAACTTTGCCGTTCAGTTTTCCTTGTATCCTTTGAGCCATTAATAATCAATGATTCACAAGACGTAAGATAGGAATATTATTATTTGATAATTATTGGGATGTACAGAATGATAATTTTAAATAAAAAATCCATATATTGTATTTTAGAATGAAAAGTATAAAAGTACAATGCATAACACATGTATATATATATAAAAGAAAAACACTTTATAAGAGACTTTTTCTAAGAGCATGTGCGCATGTAGAGATGTCCGTAAAATGTTATAGAAATTATAAACTACTTTATACTTTAAATATTACACTTAAAATGTCTATATATAAATTAATTATCAAAATATACAAGTATTGTGTGATACATACTAGTTCAATGTGGCACGAAATTACTTTTATATATACACCCTTACTCTCTCAACATTATTATTTTAAAAGTTAGTTTGTCTATAAATGCGTGGAATACTCATTGCCAGAATATTGCTAGCATTGTTTCCCTTAATATAAATTAAGATATTAAAACGCATGACTATAATAAATAAATAATAAATGACTAGAAACGATATTTCGTATACAATCCAATTTTACAACGTATATAATAATAATATATTTATGACTAATAATTGATGCACAATAATTAGAAAGTAAACGTTACATCTATAATAGTATTTTTTTTTAAAGAAATTAAATACATAAATTATATACATTTCTTTTAGATAGATAAAAAGTGGACACTTGTATAAAGAACGATAACATAAATGTCTAAAAAATATTTTACCTGATATTTTAGATGTATTTCAGACTTTCGTGTTGTTCAAGAAGTTTAATCGTAGATTATCGCTGTTAGAGAGAGCTATATAATTCAAGAACTCGTACCATTATTCGCACGCGTGTTTAGGACAAGCTTACGCTCGCTAACCCCAGCAAATTTGCCTTAAGAGCGGATGCAGGCTTGCCTTCATGGTCTCTTGGCAGAACTAGTTTAGATACAACTGTCACACCGGCGACAGCGTTAGTACTGCCACAGTACTACCGCTGTCTGTGCTTGTTTTACGACCTGGTTACGATAGCAGTGTCCTTACACTAGCGACGGGGAGGTTGGAGTCTTCCTTCCTGAATTCATTCAGCGGCCCATCAGCATTTCCCCTTGGTATTTGTCCTTCGAATTATTCAGTCGACTCGGCCCTCTCCCGGTTGAGGGCCAGAAAGTAGCAAGAACCTCTCGCTGTTGACAGAAATTGCAGCTGTCTTAAATAAATAAGGATCACCGCGTCCGTTTCAACTGATAGCTTCTCGTTTTAATGTTCCGCGAGATGCATACGAGATCGGAATACTGAAAGGCATTCAAGTAAAATGCGAGTAGGTCAGTATACACCTGGTGCACTAAACTTTTGGAAACTATATATTGCCGGTGTATACTCTAACTTTCGAGACTAGTAATATATGAAATAATGTAGTAACAATAAAATAATACAGTTATATATATACATATACATTATTTATATAATAAAGTAATCTTAAATGTCTATCCATAAATTACTTTCTAATTTTTTTTTTAAATACAGCGATTAATTTTACGCGAGCGAAATTGATCACATGATTAATGATACTGTTTAAATGGCAATTAATGCACTAATTACATAATTATTATTGACATTTGACTTTTAATATCAAAATTAGTCAGTGCTTCACATTTTGCACGTGCATTCACTTCTCTAGTTTTGTTCCTTGAATGGGATTGAAAATATCTAACTGCGATTAAATGCAGCCATTTCCCCAACACGCGCACCATGGCACATTACTACTGCTAGTACTAGTTTTGCGAGCTTTCACGCTGGCAATTTCCCGACTACTGACCGAGTTCGTCCTTTCGCGTTCTAAATTCAGCGCGGCGCTATCCGTATATTTGTCCTTGGATGCGTCCACACTGCCGCTCCTCGATGTTTTCAAGGATGTTTGAGACGATCGTCTCTTAGAATTAATGTACGCGGACATCCTTCGGTTCTGATCCTTGCGCGGCGAGTCCTGTCCCGAGGATGACGATCTGCTCTCATTCTTATCCTCTTGCCCGTCAGACGTAGTCGTCGTGCTCAATTGCCTCGGTTTCTTTCGCGTCATTTTTCCCGGCGAATCGAGCGTATCCGTCGACGTGGCACTGCCCTGCTTCTTCAGTCTTCTTTGTGCCGCCGGCGATAGCGGTCTCTGATCCTTGACTAGAATTTTGTCCTTCTTAACAATCTTCTTCCGCGTCTGTCCGTCTGGCGAATTCGGCGCGCTGATCGTTTCCTCGTCTTCGTGATGCGAGTCTCCGTCGAGCGAAGTCTGCGTTTGCGCCGGTACTTTCGTCGCGACGTTATCGTAGTACAACATTTCGCTTCCTCTTGGGTAAAATTGACCTCGCGGTATAAACGGAACGTTTTGATGTAAGTTCTGACTTTGAAAGTATCGATTCGCGTTCAATCTTCTTAGAGTGGTCAGATCGTACGGAGTAGCGGAAGGTATCAAAGTGCAAGGACTTGGTTTCTCGAAGGAAGTCACTTGGATGTCCTGTTTACCGCTTATCAGTTGATCGCCAGGTATCAGCAATCGATTCTGATCCGGCAAATGCGTAGTTCGAAACTTCTCGCTGAAGTGGACTCCTCGACCGTAAGTCGGCATAGGATATTGATAAGGGAGGGCATCGTCATTTACTTGAATAGAGAGCGGCGCTGTGCCAGAAGGAGGTTTCGATTCTACTTGATAGCTGGGACAGATCTTGTCGAAGTTTCTCAGGAAGGGATTCCTGAAGAGGCGGTAATCTATCGAGGGTAGGTTGGGAACCTCCGGTGTTTCTGGGCTCGGTGTTCGCTCGGCTCGCGGTACCTTCAGTGTCACGTTTAGATGACTCTTGTACGGTTTGCTGGAGGAATTGTTCGTTATATTGTCCAGAGCGTTGTCGCTTTTTGTCAACATCTGAGATTCGACGTGGTTGAATTTTAATTGTTGTGCTATACTCTGAGATTCGCTCGAAAGATTTTGGCATGATAATGATTTCGTCAATTGACTACTTAAAGCGTTTCTGTTATCCGCGATCAACAGATTATCGGTACTCAGGAATGTCTTTGAATCATTTTTATTTTCATCCTCGCAAGGTATCGCGCCGTTCACGTAAATATCTGCCGACCCTTTTTGCGCTACGAAAGGATTGGTCCTGGAGATGACTGTGGAAGCTGTCTTGCCACTGCTTGAGCTAGTTCCGGTTCCAAAATGACTCATACTCGCGGTGGGCGATTCTTCTTCTTGTTTTTTCAGCTTGAAAGACAGCGGCGCGAAAAAATGTTTTGGCTTCTCCGGTATCGTAGACGCGACGGTAGTTCCTATATTTTGATTTTTAATTCGTAAATTTTGCACATCTTTTTCTCCATTCATTATTGCCTGCTTTTCATCGATAAAATTCGCGGTGACGTTCCAAATATTCTTGCCGAACGTTTCTTCGGAACTTGAAAGCTGCTTTCGCGAATCTTGAATAGCTGACATAGTTTGGAATTTCGCGGGTTGCTTCGTACTTGCATTCCTTCTTCTCGACAAGCTTAAAGCGTCGGAAGATATCGAGTTTCCCGATGAAGGAATCATTTTCTGATATTCCAAATGCGAATCCGGTTTTCTCATCATTTGCATCCTCGTTACTGACGCGATGGGAGCGACGCTCGTACCCGTATAAATCGGCAGTTGTTTTTGAGAAACCACGTCATTTTGCCAACCGACGGGCGGAACGTGAATTTGAGGTAGCATCGGATCAGTCACTCGATCCAGATCGGTGTTCAGGCCGACCGGCGGGATCAATGGATCGGACTGTAATCCTGAGCAGGGCGAAACCAATAAGGCGGACGTATCCGCGGCCAGCATTAAATCGATCGTACCCGGGAATTCAAACGGGCACTCGGTGTAATAACTGGTTCCGCTAAAACTACTCGTCGGTTCGTACGTGGCCGGATAAAATGGGATGTTATCGTGAAGTTGCCGGGGGCTGAGGATCGGCGGGGGTGGGTGCCGAGCGGCCTCGTTTCTCTGACCATCATCCGACGGGGTCGCGTCCTTTCTCTCCTTATCCCTCTTCAGTTCTTCCTCTTCCTCGACGACCGACAGATCGTCGAACTCCACGTGAAGCCGATGCAAACTACTGCTCATTTTCTCGGAAGAGATCTTTTGATTCTCCGCGTTTTCTAACTGCTCCTCCTGATTAAAATCCTCGGCTGCCTTTTCGTTTTCCTCGTACTTTTCCTCCTCCTCGTCGCAGGAAAAGTCCGACTGCGGGCCGTCATCCTCCTCGGAGCGATCCTGCAATTTACAACAATTTCCGACATATTTTTATTTCCTTGATCATATCGATTATTAATTTATGATAATAGTATTATATTTTAATTAAAAATTGTCTAACATTTTTAATGAAAAATGCAAAAACGACTAGATTTTTTCTTGCTAGATATCGCTTATTACTGCGTTTTTATGTTAATATCCAATTAAAATCGACAATGTGCCTACCTCGTACTCTTCGCTTTCGTCGCGATTTTTCTGTCTCTTCAGAATTTCCTCGAGCTTGTCGTATTCATCCCTGAGGCTCCATATTTCCCTACGTAGTTGCTCGTTTTCCCTGCGCAGCTTCTTGATATCGTTTTGACCTGAAATCACGATAGACTAGAATGTTTCGATACAACATCAAAGACCGCCGAGTAAGATACTCTCTTACACTGAGAAGATAGGTCGACATCCCGCTAGATTCGTTTCGCAATTTTTCTCGCGGAAATCACTTAATCACCGTCCATCGGAGGCTCACAACGTGCGGCTGCTCGCAAAACGCGTTGCATCTATCAGAACGATCGATCATTGGTCAACGCGGCAACAATCTCCGCTTGAGGAGCCAGCCTCCTCTCTAACTCTGCGCTCTTTCGTGCGTCAAGAAGCCGGTGATAAATCACCAGAGCCGGGTCTTCCAATTACTTAACTTTACGGAGAGAGAAAGAGAGACGAATAAACCTCGCTGTCTGCGCATATAACGTGTTAAATCTTTTCTAGAGAAAGTGCGGCCTATGGCAATACAAGCGCTCGATATTTTTCCACCGATGGAAGCAGCGAAAGCTGCTTGTGTATAGTATAGAGATATAGATAAGAATAGAAAGATAGGAATAGAAAGCCATTAATTCCTCAACTATAAGATTGAAAGGTAGAGATAAGTGTTTTTTGCTACATAAAAATTAATTAGATTTGATTTGCGGAGAAATTTTATTATTTCAATTAACAAATTTTTATTTGACTTATGTTTTTCAATACCTTGTCTTCTTCATGCATTATGCAAGTGTCTATAGAATAATGTCTATAGAATCACAGATCGGATGATGTATGCGGATGCAAGGACTATTGTTGAAAACTAAGTCGATCGGTTCTTTTTTTTTTTGAACGTTAGTCATCTTCGATCCATCTAGATGCGAGTTAAGTTAAGTATCTCATCAGTCATCGGTGCCTCTTTCCACTTCGATGATTAATGGGTTTATGCTTGAAACATGTTTTCCCAGCGCTTGAACTGCGACCCGATCGCGAAAGTTTTCAGATAATTCAGCGGTACCGTTACAAGCTTTTTATTATCTATGATGTATATGCGTAATACTTGTTCTTTTTTCAAACTCGGTTAACTAATGTTTTAAACATTAGCTGTTGAGAAAAACTATAGGGTGAATATTTAAAACAAGAATAAAATTAAAGGCCAAAATTAAAAATTACAAAATTTTTTTTGTATAAGGAATTACATGAAATATTAAAAGCTTGAGGGATTTTTTAAATCAGTTTTTTCCACACAAAATATTTTGCACGGTTTATTGATTTTTTTTTACAGCTATACACGCATAAAACTCGCGCACTCGTGATAACAGTTCTCTTAAGCCTAGGGGGCAAATGTGCATGTGCATGTTACAAGAAAAGCCATGTGGTAAATCAGGATTTAAACCTGGCTTACCAATCTAAAATTTAAATAAATTAAATTCTTCCGGAGGTTCATAAATTCGGATTTTTCCTGTGGACACTAACGATTATTTGGATGCTATTAAAACTTGGATCATTTATCTTGTGTGTTAACCGCATTTGAAAACGATATTTGTTCAAATATAGGTACTAGAATCGACTATCGATCTTTTTTTATTTAAGTCGATAATGAAATATAAAAATTGTCCGTTGTGCAATTCGAATATATTATTTAATTTATTAATTATTATGTAAATAACGTATTATATGATTGGGCTTGTATGCATCTACAACATAATTTTATACAATTTTTTTTTTTCATAAAGAGAAATGTATTGTCGATACTTATACGAGATCTCGCGTCATTCGAGAAATATTTTCTTTAACTCACAATATTAAATCTTTTTGTAAGTAAAACTTCATATAAGTGAGAAATTTGCAAAACATCTTTGTCATTCTATTTTGGAAATTTTCGTTGAGGAAAGGTCAATCACAAATTCATCAAAAAATCTGCCTTTAAAATGGGTGCTGATAGTAGTGGAACTTTTTGTAAAAATGCGCAACTCGCAAAAGTAATAAAGTTACAGTTGGTTGTGTGTTTGAAACAGATTCGCCGACGCGCATCACGTTTACGAGCGACGTATAAAAAGAACGAATATCGCATGACTTACTAAATTTTACATCAAAACAACACGGTGATTTTTTTTTTTATTTGGATAAGTAAGTTTGCCAGCGGGAATACGCATGGATATTTTTAGCCGCGTACAGAATACCCTTCAATCAAGCATCAAACTGAATATTCGCAAACAACGACGAAATATAGCTCACTAAAAACATTTTCGTTGACGAGTGATGTTTATATTATTTTTGACAACGGGATAATTGTGATAGATCATATGGGGTGATCAATGCATATACTCTCAAGTATAAATTTTTACCGATATGTGTATCAAAATTAATACTTGTAATTTTCCTAAATTAAAATGATGAAAAAGTTAAACTTTTTGAAATTCAAGAAAAAATATGAAAATTTTAAAATTTTCTTTTAAATTTATTGTTTGAACTTGTTTGATTTTTAGATAATGTTGCATTTCATATTCGATATGCTCGTCTTGAGATTTTAGTAATATAATATGAGAATTATACACATAGATTAAATATTATCATATTTAATAAAATACCGAAAATCTTTCGCATCGAATAAAACAAATTTAAAATTTAGCTCACCACTTTCAACCCATCGACTCGTGTTTCACTAATATTCTATTGCAAATGAGAATATCTTTCCACGCGAATAATTTGATCATCTTTTTACATCATCGTTCGTCCAGATATGCTTCATTCTTTGTTCAAGAGAAGAGAGATAGAAAGTTTTAATTATTCCTGCTCAAACACGTACCGGGAAGGTTTAATCACTCGGTACTGTCGGCGTCATGTTACTCCTTATTTCCGTTGCCCGGGATCCTCTATGTCTTTAAAAATAGCGACGAGCCAGTAATTCTCACGCGGAGAGGATCGGCATTAATTAATCCTGGCTATTAAAAAGAGCGAATCGCTCTTCGCGTTTGAATATTTGCATCGCATTTGAGAAAGCAAAGTAATATAAATAACAAACCCGTGTACCTACACACACATAGATTCGAGTTTTTAAGAAAAAGGCAAGAAAAAAAAAAATTGCGCTGAGACGGAAAAGAGAGTGGGCGTATGAGTCTTCGCGTTTTTCGTCGGCTTCGTCGGTCCTTTTTCGTTTGCTGTAGGCGTTTTCGCTGCGAAGGTGATCAAAGCAGCTGCGAAATACATATTTGGTTTCGCCAACTCGCTGTTCCTATCAGCAGGCCGGAATTTCTTCTGGCTCTTTGAAACGTGGAAATTGCGTCCCGGCGAGAACGAGTGCAAACGAACTCGGGGAAAATATTCCGGAGGTTCGCTTTTCACTCTTGGTACCGTCTCTCTGCGACTGCGTTACTTTGAAGCGAGGCGGTCTTCACGAATATGAGAAATCCGCGCGATCGTAGACGTCCGATTGATCTTGCAGAAAATTTCGTACGCTTGTTTACACACCACGATTTGACGATATGATCGAGTCTGCTAACGAGTTGATGAAATGCGAATGGTATGTAATAACTTGCTTGAATTTTGCATTCGGTGCAGTTTCATAATAAAATATAAAATTTGAATACGAAAAGAAGAATTGGAAATAAAATATAATATTGTCACGATATCACGATATCGGTTATTAAAAGAGCAACAATATCGATAGTTAAATATATTCTTAAAGTACCCGCATAACTGTGTATATAGCTTGTACAAGCTATGTATACACTAGATAACCTGGAAAATTGAAAAGAAAATTATTTTAACAAAAGTCAAATCAGTCCTTATCTCTAATATTTGTTTCCTGTTCCTTATATTTTCGATTGTACGGGGAGTCGTTAGTTATAGGAATTTTCTTTACCCAATTTAAGAGAATCAGCGTCGGATTATTTAGCGGAATAATTGTCGCGCTTATATTCCTCGCGGAACGTCCACATTTCGATGATTCACAGTCGACGATAAACGAACGGCGGTCGCTTGAGTGTTAATTCATATCGCTGGCAGTAAACCAGAATGGCTGCTAAAACGTTCGTCAAGTGAGGGGAACGTCGCAGGGTCGGAAAATAAAGCACATTATTCTGTAATTTTCGTAGCAATTATTCGCACGGAATGTCTCTAAATTGCTGCAACAAATCTGTAGTTATTCTTCGCGGAATGGTTACGTTCGTAATAATTACGTTTTGTATTTTCATCTATATATGCAAGTTGTTGATTAAATCTAATCTTATATAAGCTATTTATATATATTATGATATAATATTGTTATATTATATTATTATAGTAAAGTATGCAGAGAAAGCTCTTTGTTATTAAGATAAATAATTGCGTGCCGTGAAATTTTCCATGTTTAATACGAGAATTTTCTTTTTAAAATTATTTTGTAATTTTGAAATGAATATTTACCTTAATATAATTTTTCGACATTATTCTACGCTGAAGGGCCGCTCAGCCCTTCAAACGTCAGTGTGAAGATTGTGTCTAGACCAAATAATCTAGATCGACGGCTCGTCGCGTCAACTAACACTTCATTTAAGGTTCGCAAGCTCATAGTTATACGAAGCGCGGTCCTTCTGGATATAATCGAACGTGACACGGCCGTCCATCCGTCGGCTGCCAGAGCGCGCCCGAATTAGATCACGCCAATATCCCATGTAAATTATCGCTAACAGATCGCTACCGTAATACCAAGAGAGCTGAAAACTCCCTGCGGGTTAGCTCGGAGGCCATATGGAAAGTTATGGAAAAAGTTTTATTTTTATGGAACAAAAATCACAATTTGGTACTTTTTTTATTTTTAACGAAAGAATGCTCTACTTTTTTTCTAATGGTCAAAGGTGCTAAACATTAATTTAATTTACCAATTTTTATATATATTATAATTAATAGATCAAATAATTTCTTATTTATATGTTATGCAAATTCTTTAATATATTGCATATTTTCTAAATTAGTTGAGAAAATAAGGTTTATTATTATAATATTTTTGTAGCTTTATTAAAATTAAGTTTTTATTTAATTCTTATCATTGAATAATTCCATAACTATTATTCTTTAACATCATTATTAAAAAATG